GTCACTGAACTGTGCATGTAGAAATTTTTGAAATGGTGTATCTTTGGCTATGTATATTTTCACCAAAAAAAAAAGGTCGAGAAGGGAGAGGGTTGACATGTTGTGGGGTTGTTAACCAACGTCATAAAACAATATGTGTACTACTGTTTCATGAGAAACTATTTGTTCTGTAAGCCTTCACCTGAAGTACAATAAAAAAAAATATATTATTACTGAAAAAAAAAACAGCAGCTTTATCCATGTTGTTGAATGGATGAACTGTGGTATATTCACATAATGGAATATTACTCAGTACTACACTACACATTTTGAGTGTGAATCTTAAAAACATTCAGCTGAATGAAAGAAGCTTTATCCATAAGTATGCATAGCGTGTAATTCCACTTACGTGAAGTTTTACAACAATCTAATCAATGGTGGGAGATGCAGTGGGAATTTACTGGGAAGGGTCTTGAGGGAACGTTCTGATCTGATGGTAATGTTCTGTGTCTTGATAGAAGTTTGCATTACACAGATATCTGCATTTGTTAGAACTCATCAAAGATACACTTAAAATTTGTGCATTTTACTGTATATAAGTTTTACTTTAATTTAAAAAGTGAATGATAAATAAATAATGAAATCCAGGTAATGACATGCTTGCTGAATTATTTAGGGGTGAAACGTCCTGGTTATCTGTCCTGGCTGCATCATGCCTTTGCAGCTAAAAATTAAATGGATTGAAGGACAGATTAATAATAAAAACAAAAAAAAACCATTGCTGTTGAGTCAGTTCTGACTCATAGCAACCCTATAGGACAGAGTAGAACTGCCCTGTAGGGTTTCCAAGGCTGTAAATCTTTATGCAGGCAGTCTGCCACATCTTTCTCCCACCCAGCAGCTGGTGGGTTTGAATCACCTATCTTTTGATTAGTAGCCAAGCACTTAACCACCATGTCACCAGGGATCCTTGAAGGATAGATCAAGATGTATAGATATGTGATAAAGCAAAAACAGCAAAATGCTACTTATAGCATGAGACTTGACTCCTACATCACACTATACACAAAAATCATTTCCAGATGGATTGTAATTCTAAGTACGTAAAGTAAAACAATAAACTTGTCTAAGAGTTAGGAGACCTAGAGTCCAGATTCAGCTCTGCAATAGCTTAGCTGTGTGATCTCTCTCCATTCATTTGTCAAACAAGAAATTGGACCAGGATTTCTAAATTCCTTTCCAGCATTTAATTCACATTTCCAAAACCTGTATGCATTTTTTCCAGATAATCTAGGAATTTATCCTAGGAAAATAATAAGTTTGTAAAAATACATGTTAATTGAAACATTTTTGGTAATTGGGGAAAATTGGTTACAGCCTAAATGACCACCATCAGAAACCAGTTAAATAAATGATGATTATCTCCTTACAAGGAGCCTTGGTGGCGCAGTGGTTAAAACGTTCGGCTGCTAACAGAACTAGGGAATCATTAAAAAGGAGCTAGATATTTATATTCTGACATGGAAAGGTGTTCAGGATACATTGCTATATATTTTTTAAAAGGAAAATTACTGAACAGTAAAAAGTACGAATAACAAGATCCCATTCGTAGAAAAAAGTTCAACAGGTATTTCTTGATCACCTACTATGTGCAAGAAGTCACTATGCTGGACACTAGACGAAACAACAGTGAATAAAAAGACATTTTAGCTGGGAAACCCAGACAAAAAATAAAACAAATACATAACCATTGATTCTATGAGTAAGAAAATAAAGGGTTCCAGAGAGACAGTAGGGAATTCTATTTTGGTTACGGTGGTCGAAGAAGGCCTCTCAGAGAAGGTGGCACTTAATCAGAAACCCGAATCAAGTGAAAGAACAACCTATGCAAACGATGGGGGTTCAGGGGGCGAGGTGGGGCTTCCAGGCATAAAGAAACAGTAACTTCCAAGGCCTTCGGCCCAAAATGAACAAAGCGCTCCTGAGCAACAACGCGAGCAGCTTGCAGCTAGAGAAGCCGACAGGAGCCAACCGCTAGATGCCCAGACCACAAGGCCATGGTTGCCATGTTGGGAGCTCGGACCTTACTGTGTGAAGGGAAGCCCCTGGAAGGTCTGAGCAGAGCAGTAACCTCAGGTACTTTCTGAAAGGTTCTCCTGTAAACTACATATAGAGTGAGTGAATTGCGGGGGAAATGGAAGCAGGAAGGTCAGTCCGGAGGATCCAAGTGAAGGTTGTGAAACCAAGGGAGGAATTCCAGACGGCTGCTATCCATGCACATGTTTATGTTCGCATGAAAATAAAGTTTGGAAGACAACACTTCAAACTGTTGGGGGCACGCAGGGCTCATTTGACTGGCGTAATCTGAATTTTTGCGTTATGCTTTATCCTTCAGTCTTGACCCAGGAGGCCTACTAGACGGGCACAGGCCCCCGCACGGGGGCGCCCGAGGGGCAGCCGCCGGCCTGGCCTTCCCGCCGCCCCACCGGAAGTGCTCTCCTAACCCGCCGTGCCGCGGGAAGATGGCGCAGGATGCTAGTGCTATGGAAGATGGGCAGCTTTCCGACTCGGATTCCGACATGACGGTCGCGCCCAGCGACAAGCCGGTGCAGGTGCCGGTGAGTGAGAAGGATGGGCGGGTGATTTGGGGCCGGGAGTATGGAGCCCCGGCTGTGGCGTGGATGAGGGAGGGATGGTGTCCGTAGTCCAGGGGCGCGGAGCCCCCTGCTACGAGGGCAGTGCCGGGCGAAGATGGCGGCGGCAGTGAGGCTCAGTGGCCTGCCAGGCGCGCGGGGGCGGTGGCGGTCAGGTGAGGATTCGGCTGGCGTGTGGAGCCCGGGCTGCTGGGGCGGTGCTGGCCGGTGGCTTTGGGCGAGCCGTGGCCGGGCCTTTTGTTGCGAGGCGGGGCCCGCGGGCCTTGCGGCCTTCTGGAAGAGCGGGCGTGTGGTCGTCTCCTCCGCCGAGAATCTCTACGCTGCTTTTCGTTTTCTAAACTTACGGGCTTCACTATTCCAGCGCCGCACGATTGTCCTAGAAAGGCAGATTTTGCCAAAAATGTAGAACCTGGGGACATTGGAAGGAGCCCTGGTGGCGCAGTGGTTAAGCGCTCGGCGGCTAATGGAAAGGTCGGAGGTTCGAACCCACCAGCTGCTCCGGGAGAAAGATGTGGCAGTCGACTTCCGTAAATATTACAGCTTTGGAAACCCTATGGGGCAAGTCTGCTCGGCCCTGTAGGGTCGCTGTGAGTCGAAATTGATGCAACGGGTTTGGTTTGGGGACATTGGTCGGAGGCAGTTTCTGGCGCTCTTTTCGCCCAATGCCTGCTCTGAGTAGATGAAACTGAGGCCCAGAGATGAAGCTCGTCACTCACTCAGAAACTTGGTCTTCCATGTTTTCACCCAACCTAGCTTCGTCATGTGTACCGCGAGCTAGGTTTTGTGTTTGCTTTCGCGTTTTTTTAGGTTAGAGTTTGGCTTAGCTGTTGTGCTAGGTAGGTAGTAAGCTTTTTCAGAGGGCTTTGAGTCCAGGCTGCCCACGTTAGAATCCTGGCGCCGCCACTGTGTGACCTGCAGGAAGTTATTCATTTAGCCTTGCTGCCTTAGTGTCCTCATTTCTAGTACATTACTGTGAGGATTTATCGGCGCATACAGCACGTAGTAATACCTGATAAATGTTAGCTGCCGTTGTTATTTGAAGATAGGCATTTTCGGTCAGTCTTGATTCAGGTAGCCTGGTGAGGAGAATTAAGTGCTGTATTTGCTGTGGAAATAAGAATTTGTGGCTTTAAAATTGGCAGATTCCACGTGGAACTTTAGAAAGTAGTAACTGGATTGGTCCCAGAGATGTCTTGAAGGTTGGTTCTGCTTCAGAATGGTCCAGTTGAATCACTGTATAATCTTAAACTAATTTGCTTTTTTATAGCACAGTAGTGGGCTGGGTTAATGTGTTTTGTGGAATTGACTGTATTTTCTTTCACTTGCAGAAAGTACTAGGTGGAGACATCGCAATGAGGCCCTTCCAGAATACTGCAGCAGCTTGTGCACCGGTATCACATTATCGGACTGTTACAAGCCTGGATTCGAGTGAAGAGAGTTTTTCTGATTCAGATGATGACAGCTCTGTTTGGAAACGAAAGAGACAGAAATGTTTTAATCCTCTTCCCAAATCAGAGCCATTTCAGTTTGGCCAGAGCAGCCAGAAATCATCTGTTGCTGGAGGAAAGAAGGTTAACAACATATGGGGTGCTGTCCTGCAGGAGCAGAATCAAGATGCAGTGGCCACAGAACTTGGTATCTTGGGAATGGAGGGCACTATTGACAAAAGCAGACAATCCGAGACCTACAATTATTTGCTTGCTAAGAAGCTTAAGAGGGAATCTCAAGAGCATACAAAGGAGTTAGACAAAGAGCTAGATGAATATATGCATGGTGGCAAAAAAATGGAATCAAAGGAAGAGGAAAATGGGCAAGGTCATCTCAAACGGAAACGACCTGTCAAAGACAGACTAGGGGACAGACTAGAAATGAACTATAAAGGTCGATATGAGATCTCCGAGGAGGATTCTCAAGAGAAAGTGGCTGATGAAATTTCTTTCAGGTGAGTATTTAAATTTGTCCTGCAAATGAGCAGTTGACCAAGTGTCCTTCATTTACAGAAAGTAAATAGACTCTAAATACATTAATAATGATCTTTTTCAGTGTTTTTATTTAAAGAATAAACTCTGGGCTTGCTTGGGTATACAGATAGTTTGTATTTTCTTAAATGTAAACAGACATGATAAAATGAAAAGATGAACTTTTTAGCAACTGTATTTAGTGCCATAGAATTCTTTGGATAAATCATGTCTTTTTAAATCATGTGTTTGTTTGTTTTTTTTGTTTTTATTATCGCTTTTTATTATAAGTGTTTTATAAACCCCATCTTTATTTGTCTTTGGGGTTGGAAATATTACATATAAATTTACAGATGTATTTTAATAATACATACATAAAAAAATACACAAATCATAAAAATATATTCTGATGATGAACAAAAGAATGATACTGACATTTTGTCAGTTGCGATAGTAACTCAACTTGTGGAAGGTTCTGGATAATCAGAATTATCCCTGGGAACGGGGATGGCAAAATTAATGAGAGTTGTTTCTATGGTCCTTTTGTTTTTTTCTTCATGTATTTCCTGGTAACACCTCACTGCTTTCTGAATCTGTCTGTTGACTTTAGTGAAGTGATCAGCGTTTGGGTCTGTGTTTTCAAGCAACTGAAGCCCCTGATTTAGTTTACAAAGCTAAATCTGTACAGCAGTGTTTTGAACAGTAAACCATAAAATTGAACATCTGCAAGTGCACGATTGAGAATGATAACATCAGCAAATTACATGCTGCAACATTGTAGTACGTATTACTAACAATAACATGTACCAAAAAAATAATTGGTCATAAGTGCAGTTCGTGGTAATTCAGATACATCAGAGGTTGGGGCCTACCTGTATATCATTCAATGATTTTTAGTAAATTTACTGAATTATACAACCGTAAACCAATTTTAGGACATTTCCATCACCCTAATAAGATCCCTCTTGCCCATTTTCGGTTAATCCCCATTCCTGTCTCCAGCCCTAGGCAACCACTAATCGTGTTGTGTCTCTCTAGATTTGCCTTTTCTGGACATTTCATGTCCGGTAATACCATATGTAGTCTCTTGAGTCTGACTTCTGTATCTTAGCATAATATTTTTCAGGTACATCCACGTTGCAGCAGGAATCAGTAGTTTGTTCCTTTTGATAGCTGAAGTGTTTTATTGTTTGAATATACCCTGTTTTGTATGTCTGTTCATCAACTGGTGGACCTTTACACTTTTTGGCTATTATGAATAATGCTCCTATGGACTGTCATATGCAGATCTTTGGACATGTATTTATATTTCTCTTGGGCGAATACCTGGTGGTAGAATTGCTCAGTATATGGAAAATTTACAAATCATGTATTTTAACAAGTTTAGATTTAGACATGAAAGTTTTCTTTAGCTTTAACTTACCAATGAATAATGTCACAAATTTGAAAGCAAAAAAACAAGTGTCTACTTTCTAGGCAAACCTATCTCAACACCGGTACTGGGATTTTAAAATACTGAGGGAGTTTGGAATTTGAATGTTGGAAAGGATCTTGGAGATTTTGTAAACCAAAACTTTCACTTTACAAATAAGGAAACCAAGGCCCTGTATCTTTGTGGCTTGTCCAATTTCACAGATTTAATTCACTTCAGACCTGGGGCTGAGTCCTGGTCCCTTTGTTCCTAGTCTAGTGCTCTTTCCACAATAATGCACTGACTCCTGTTGAGAAGATACCAAGGATGGCAGGTCTGGTTAGGGGACTGGTAAGACTTTTCCATTATTAAAGCTCTTTCATCTCTATAGAGTATGAATTCTTGTATTAAAGAGTTATAATTTAGGTTTCTTGCGTTTTTAGCTCTTAATAGTAAAGTGAAAATAATACTACCTACTTCATAAAACTGCTGGAAGAATTAAATGAGATTATCCACATAGTCTTTCATAATTGTGTTTACTCTATAATAAGCCACAAGTATATAGTAGCTATTTTTATTCTTTATCCTGAAGCAGGAAGCTTATGAGGGAAAGGTCCTATCCATTTTCAAGCTCCCAGAGAGAGCTAATGTTTAGGCATAATAATTAAAAGCATAGCATATGTTTGCTATTGTTTTGACAAGTTCTTTTGTATTTAGGCTTGCATTCATTTTGCTGTATGTGCACCTTTGTTTTGACATCTGCCATGATCCAGTAAGGCAAATGAAGAGGCCAGGTATGAGACTTGAGGTGGAAACTTGAGGTTACCATCTCCTCTGGTGGCCCAAGGCAAGGAATATTTCCATGCCAGTGGTTCCAAGGTTAAATATCGAAGATTTAGAAAAGCACATTTTTAGGAGTTTAATCCTAGTTGGGGGCTAGTCTAGAGACTAAGGTAGATTTCTTTAACTTTACACAACAAAGAGGTAAATATTTTATTTGTTCCGTATCAGGTTACAAGAACCAAAGAAAGATCTAATAGCCCGAGTAGTGAGGATAATTGGGAACAAAAAGGCAATTGAGCTTCTGATGGAAACTGCTGAAGTTGAACAAAATGGTGGCCTTTTTATAATGGTAAGCCTAACTGTTTCATTGCTTCTGTTTTTATATTGTTTATAATGTGATTTTTTTACAAAATAAACTTGCCTCAGATTGTTGGATCTCTTATCATAAATTATTACAGTGTTTCAGAGTCAAGTAAAATTTCATCAACAATGAAGACTGAATTTAAAAGTTTAGTATGCTAGGTTTTTGAAGTTAATACTTTTCATATGTAGATAAGCTGTAGCCTGTTAGTGTGCAGTCAGCAACACATCTCTTACAGGACTTATTTAGGGTAGAATTAGAAATTTTACGACAGGAGATCCTGGAGGGAGCCTGGAAATTCAGGTTTTGAGAGTTATGGGTTTTGAAGGTTGGATGTTTTGTTTTGGAACTTATTAGCTGTGAGATTTGCCTAAGTTATTTGACTTCTTGGAGCCTCTGTCTCCTCAGCTGTAAAATGGGGATTAATCCTGTGTTATTACAAGGATTGGATGAGATATTGTATGTAAAGCACTTATCACAGTGCCAAGCACTTAGCAATGGTGAGTATAAGTGTTCCTGTGATTTATTGGAAAATTGATTCTTGGGAGACCAAAAAAAAATCTTACTCTTATTATTATAAAACACAGATAGATACACAGTATATTTGGTATTAAAATTTCATGGATGGTGGGTATGAATAGGGAAAAAAATGTCTATAAAGGTTCCTGGGGTGGGGGAGCAAATGGGGGGGGGATTGAGAAACACTGTTTTACTACTTTTCTGGAAATGGCAGAAGGTGTGCTCCTCTGGCTTGGGCCAGACCGTAGGCAGTGGCAGTTTATCTCATGGAATGGTCATGCAGATCTCATTTAATTCAGCTTTCTCCACAGGGTGAGGATGAAGTTTGAATTGTTTTCTTCCTACTTGCTGCTCATTAATCTGAATAGTAGTGTCATAAGAGAGTAGATGAATATTATGCTGTGGAAATGGAGAGAAACAAAACCAGTTAGATTGATAGCGTTGGCTGAGGAAGCTGCCAGTGAATATAGAAATTACAGACGTCAAAGCAGAAGTTAACAACAAAACAAATCACAATAATCATGAATGCACTGGCATCCCTGTTTGTGTCACTGTTAAGGTATTTTGATTTTCTTATTGTTGAGCTCAAAATTATAGATTCATCAATATTTTAACCAGTAACCAGTTGTTGTCAAGTCAATTCCAACTCGTGGTGATCCTATGTGTGTCAGAGTAGAACTGTACTCCACAGAGTTTTCAGTGTGGAAGTACATCCTCAGACCTTTCTTCCAAGGTGCCTCTGGGTACACTCAAATCTCCAGCATTTCAGTTAGCTGAGCATGTTAACTGTTACCACCACCCAAGGACTCCAGCAGTATTTTAATACTTTAGTAATAAAACTTTATATTCCAGCAAGCTAATTCAAATCTACTGAATGTTAGGAAGATTCAAGTTCAAATTCACTCTCTTTTTGATAAATTTTTTCCTTGAACAATTCTTTGAGTGCCTGCTATGTGCCTGGTACACAAGGGAATTTATGTTATAGGTGGGAGTGTAAGGGAGACAGTCTAAAAACAATAAATACAACAAATAATCTATAGTGTGTTAGAAAGTGTTCAATTCTGTGGGAAAAGAAATTGATCAAGGTCTGGAGGTACAGAGAGGAGAGATCATCACACTTAAACTGAAATGATCAGGATAGAGCTTATTGAGAAGATGTCGTTTGAACAAAGCCGTGAAGAAGGTGAAGCAGCAAGCCCCGCAGGAAGAGCAGGCCAGGCAGAAGTAACAGCAGTTGTAGCAGTGAAGCGTGCCTGGCAGGGCTAGGACTAGAGTGAAGTGATTGAGGTACTCGCCTCGGCAGAATTTAAGGAGGTGCCAAAAACTCATGTAATTAAGATACAATTTCAATGCAATATTTTCAGAAATCAAAATGAGTGCAAGAAAATCCATGATGAACGAAATGTGAAATAAAAACAAGCTCCAACCCTGCCCTGGCACGACTCAGTCAGCTCACTCTCTTCACCCTAAGTCCTGGCCAGGTGCCTGGTATGAACAAGGTGCCAGTGTGGCTGCAGTAGTACTTGAGGGAGAGAGTAGAATGTGAGGTCAGGGAGGTGATGTGGGGCCAGGTCTAGTGGGGACTTGTTTGCCATCGTGTGGGTGTTGGGGTGGCAAACGTCAGTTGTTTCAGTGTCAGGCATCTTTTAAAAAGGATGCCTAAAATGGGGGAAAAAAATCAATATAAAAGGCTGTATTAAAGTCCAAGAGGCCAGTGTATGAAAATCTTTTAATTATGCAGCACTGCTAATTGATTTTTTTGTTTTTATTGTTGTTTGCCATTTTATGGAATTTGGCTTTTGCTTTGAATGAAATAGTTCTTGGATGATTTTGAACAGATATGTGTTTCATTGTGGCTGCTGTGATGAGAACAGACTGCATGGGGGCAAGGGTAGGAGCAGGAAGGCCGTTTTAGGAGGCTAATGCAGGCTAATGACCAGGGTGGTAGCACTGGGGTGGTGAAAAGTGGTCAGATTTCTGAATGTGTGTGGAAGTAGAAACGGCAGGATTTCCTGATGGATTAGTTGGAGGATGTAAGAAAAGGAAGTGTTAAAGATGATGTCAAGGTTTCTTTCTAAGGTTTTTAGCCAGTTTAAAGAGCAATATCCAAAAATACATATTACTTGAAAAGGCTCAAATATCTATTTGACATGAAAAGGCATATAATGGATTTGTGTGTGTGGGTACACATGTGTGCACATTTTAGGTGAAAGTTTACAGCACCAATTAGTTTTTCATTCAAAAATTTGTGCATAAATTCTTTTGTGACGTTGTTTGCAATCCCCACGATGTGTCAGCACTCTTCCCTCTTCCCTTTCCACCCTGGCTTGCCCATGTCCATTCGTCCAGTTTTCCTGTCCCTTCCTGCCTTTTTGTCTTTGCTTTTGGGCAGGTGTTGCCCATTTGGTCTCATATACTTGGTTGAACTAAGAAGCACGTTCCTCAAGTGTGTAATTGTTTTATAGGCCTGTCTAATTTTTGGCTGAAAGGTGGACTTCAGCAGTGGCTTCAGTTCTGAGTTAGCAGGATGTCTGGGGGCCATAGCCTCAGGCGTCCCTCCAGTCTCTGTTAGACCAATAAGCCTGGTCTTTGTGTGTGTGTGTGAATTTGAATTTTGTTCTACATTTTTCTGCCGCACAGTCCAGGACCCTCTATTGTGATCCCTGTCAGAGAAGTCAGTGATGGTAGCCAGGCACCATCTAGTTCTGGGCTCAGGCTGGCAGAGACTGTGGTTCATGTGATCCATTAGTCCTTTGGACTAATATTTTCCTTGTGTCTTTGGTTTTCTTCATTTTCCTTAGCTCCAGACAGGAGGGTATCAGTAGATGTATCTTAGATGGCCACTTGCAAGCTTTTAAGACCCCAGATGCTACTCACCAAAGTGAGATGTAAAACATTTTCTTTATAAACTACGTTATATCAGTTGCCTAGATATCCCCAGAGACCATGGTCCCCAGCCCTCAGCCCCAGTAACTCAGTCCCTCAAGGTGTTCGGATGTGTCTAGGAAGCTTCTATGACTTTGCCTTGGTCAAGTTGTGCTGACGTTCCCTGTATTGTGTGTTGTCTTTGCCTTCACCAGAGTTAACACTTGTCTACTATCTGGTTAGTGATTTCTCCATCTTCACCCCTCCCCTCCCTTTTAACCATCAAAGATTGTTTTTTTCTGTCTGTAAACCTTTTCTTGGGTTTTTATAATAGTGGTCTCGTACGATATTTGTCCTTTTGTGATTGACTTCCTTAGCATGCTTCCCTCCAGATTCATCCGTGTTGTGAGATGTTTCACAGATTCATCGTTCTTTATCATTGTGTAGTATTCCATTGTATGTACCATAATTTGTTTATCCATTCATCTGTTGCTGGGCACTTAGGTTGCTTCCATCATTTTCCTATTGTGAATAATACTGCAGTGAACATGGTTGTGCATATGTCTATTCGTGTGACTGCTCTTATTTCTTTAGGATGTATTCCTAAGAGTGGAAATGTTGGATTGTGTGGTATTTCTATTTCTAGCTTTTTAAGGGGGTGCCATATTTTTTTCCAAAGTGGTTGTAACGTTTTACATTCCCACCAGTAACGAACAAGAGTTCCAATGTCCCTTTGACCTCTCCAACATATGTTACTTTCTGGTTTTTTTTTTTTTTTTTTGATTAGTGCCAGTAATGTTAGGTTGAAATATGGCATCTCACTGAAGTTTTGATTTGCATTTCTCTAATGGCTCATGATCTCAAGCTTTTCCTTATGAGTCTGTTAGCCACCTGAATGTCTTCTTTGGTGAAGTGTCCATATCCTTTACCCATTTTTTAATTGGATTATTTGTCTTTTTGTTGTGGTGGTATTTATTTAGAGATTAGACCCTTGTTAGATATGTTGTAGCCAAAATTTTTTTCACAGTCTGTAGGTTCTGTTTTTACTTTTCTTTTTTAAATTGTACTTTAGGTAAAGGTTTACAGAACAAATGGTCTCTCATTAAACAGTCAGTACACATATTATTTATATTGTTTTATGACATTGGTTAGCTACCCCATGACATGTCAACCCTCTCCCTTCTCGACCTTTTTTTTTTTTTTT